CCATATTTAGGCAGCTTCAAAGTAATCCACACAACCCCAGCCAGCAAATAAGTGTCTTCTCTACCACAACGATCAGTCATTTTCAGAAAAAAATGAACAATTATATACTTTTAACAACAAATGCTCGCCTTAGTCCAGTTCTGTCTTATGTGAAATATGCATATTGGAAAGATCATGCATGACGTAGACGGAGAGAACCGCCTCATTTTTGACAATTGTGAAGAACTAGCACTGTCCAAATTTTGAATGGTCGTTTTTGTGTCTAGTTTATTGTTAAACCTTAATTTATCTTCAGCTGAAGAAAGAAAGACCTATACATCTTGGACAGCCTGGGAGTGAGTAAATAATCAGAACATTTTCATTTTTGACTGAACTATTCCTTTAAACTTTGACGGTAGCCATTGACTTCCATAATATGGAAAAAAATTAATATTATGGAAGTCAATGGCTACCATCAACAGTTTGGTTTCCAACATCCTTCAAAATATCATCTTTTTTGTTCAGCAGAAGAAAGAAATTCATACAGGTTTGGAACCAGTTTAGGGTGAGTAAATGTTGACAGAATTTTCATTTTTGGGTGAATTGTCCCTTTAATGAATTACATGATTTACTAATTAATTAATCAGTTTAATCACAGTTAATCAAATATATCAATATTTACTTTGTTTCATAATTAATCAAACTGTTAACACAAATGACTTGAATTCTGAAAGGATTTCTCCTGTACTCATCACCATATAATTGGAGCAAGTGTTCCAATTAGTACAGAGCTGTTTGAATTATACAGCATTACTAACATCCAGAGCAAAGCTTTCATCTGTCAGACTCGGACCAGGATGACCCTGTTCCTCATACCAGTCTTGAAATGGTGCTAAAGCTTGAGAGATCGGCAGCCTGCATGCTTAATCTTGATTTATTTGTGCAGTAAACGCCTGATGTCCTGAATTGGTACTAATATTTATATAAATGTAAAATGAGCAATATTAGCTCAAGCTTTCCTACAGGCCTATAAGTCGTACGCTGAGCGTGTCGTGTACTTGTAGGCTGTGTACTGTGAGGTGGTTACTGATGGTCAACACTCTCAGCAAGGAGTGTAATACTTTTAAAATCTCATCATTTACTCCCAGACACATTCATTCTCAAAGATTTCATCAAGAAAATTAATCTCAAGGTCTTCCAGATCATAAATTCACCTCCATCCCACATATATAATATTTTCCTTTTAAAAAGTCATGTCTGATATTGTCAGTTTTATACGAGGAGCCGATTTTAAAGCGTCATAGATGGTTTTATTTTTAAACTCCACAAAACTACTCTCTTCCACGAAGAGGATGTCTGAGGAATTTTCTCGATTTGAATGGTTTTCTGTGTTATTGTCTCACTTGGATTGCAAGGGAGTTCATATACACAACACAAAAACAAAAGATGAAGCGTGTGGAGTGTTGTGCTGCTGCTGCTGCTGGAATACAGGTGCATTGTGGGGATGTAGGTTTAAGTCGAACACATAAGACTCTCTCGACACACGCAGCAGATTCCCTTAATCTCATGGATTGGCTGATATTGATGATTTAGCAGATCTGCCCACATTCCTACAGCGTTGTGCTGCTGCTGCTGCTGGAATACAGGTGCATTGTGGGGATGTAGGTTTAAGTCGAACACATAAGACTCTCTCGACACACGCAGCAGATTCCCTTAATCTCATGGATTGGCTGATATTGATGATTTAGCAGATCTGCCCCCCGCAGGGCTTTCTGCTGGACTGCAGACATGGAAGTGCTAGAAGCTCATATGTGTACAAAACAACAGGTTTTTTGACATGAATAAATACAGCACATCTTCTTTGCACACGCTGCGTTCACAGACTTTTTAATGCAGCGGAGAGGCGACATACAGTAAATGTATTTAAACTGCTAGATAATGTATCAGACACTACGCTGCTGCTGAAAATCACGTTTTGCAGAAACAGTATTGTCAAAATCTTTAAGAAAAAGATTGACATTTTTCTTGTTCTTGTACATAGATATTACAGCAACATTAAATGCACATTTTCTTTTCATTCAAAATAGGAATCTATGTTAAAAGAAATAAGGTTGATGTGAATTAAACTCTTAGTGCTGTAGTTTGTGCTTATATAGTGCATATTTGTATGTTAGATGATGGGAAAAATGTCATTTTACACTGCTAGACAATGTATCAGACACTATGCCACTGGGAATAATGTTTCAAAATGTGTATTTGATGTATACATTTATGCTGAAGATTTAAAAAAAAATTGGGGATCATTTTTGGGAAAATTTGGGATCATTCTTACATAAAACAACATTATAACAACATTCAAGATGTGAAAACAACATTACAAAATATTTTTCTGATGTTTCTCCCTTAAAAAATGTTTATCAGATGTTTAGAATAAAACATCACGCTTTACAAATTACACACTCATTCACAGACGTAAGCAATGCGTGATCACTGGGTTATTTAAAAAAAAAAAAAGTTTTAAATCTTGAGGTTCATTGGTTCTAATGGTAATATGTTTCATGACAAATATTTAACAATCGTGTTTTTCATGGAAATGTGATTTCAGTTGTAAAGTTGATATGCATAGTGCTGTGATCTACTACCCTACTAACTTTTACACGTTTGACCGTATTCTTGGATTTCTGTCTTATTGTACTTGTGTAGCGATCATTTATTCATCTCCGGGAAAAGCAAAGCAGGCAGGATTCCCATTGTTTGTTATTGTTCGGTGGCATGAGGGAAATCCCGAAATTCAACTTATTGTTCAGGCAGGAGCGCTCGTGTGTCGCAAAAGTTTTACTGTATAATTCATATTCTTGTCATTAACACAAAGCGAGGTCGCGGAGGGCACGTGGTAAACGACCTCTCTCCGTCCGAGCGCCACACGTGTCAAAACAGGACAGCGTATCTTTAAGCTCATCTCATTCTTAATGAAAACGGCGAGTTGCAACGGCCTCTGATCTTGTGTTTTAGTCAAATAGAACTCCACGCTTCACTGACAGCTCTGATCTAAAGCATTTAAGTGCAAGTTTTGATCTCTCTGCCTTTGATTAAAACTAATGAGCTCATTTAATTCAAAATGGGAATCTCTGATAAGAGAAATAAGGTTGATGTGACTGGATTAGAGAGGCGAATTAAACTCTTAGAGCTGAAGTTTGTGCTTATATAGTGTATTAAAAAGCTGTTGGCATATTCTTGTGTGTTAGATGATGAGAAAAATTTCATAGTAATTCATATTTAATCAGAAGAAATGAAATGACTAAATATAACATGGCTCTGCCTTTTCCCCAGAGTGATAAAGGACTAGTTAGATTTTAAATGACATTTAATTCATGTTCTCAGAAAGAAAGAGGGAGGAGAAAAAAGGCCGAGAGAAAGAGAGAGAGAGAGAAATGGGAAAATACAGCAGTCCAAACCCACAACTATATGACAGTGTCTATTCAGCTATACTTTTATATCCCAGGGGTTGATTTTATTAAAACGTTTTTTTTTTCTTCTTCTTATGTAACGTTCACTTAATTTTCCTAGATTTTTTTTTTTTTTGTGCCTTCATTTATTTTTGTCAGTTTTCAAATATGTGACCCTAGACTACAAAACCAGTCTTAAGGGTCAATTTTCTTTGTATCTTCATCATCTGAAAGCTGAATAAATAAGCTTTCCATTGACGTATGGTCATTGTTAGGATAGAATATTTGGCCGAGATACAAATTTGAAAATCTGGAATCTGAGGGTGCAAAAAAATCAAAATATTGAGAAAATCGCCTTTAAAGTTGTCCAAATGAAGTTCTTAGCAATGCATATTACTAATCAAAAATTAAGTTTTGATATATTTACGGTTGGAAATTTACAAAATATCTTCATGGAACATGATCTTTACTTAATATCCTAATGATTTTTGGCATAAAAGAAAAATCTATCATTTTGACCCATACAATGTTTTTTATTTTTGTATTTCTTTTGGCTATTGCTAAAAATATACCCAAGCGACTTAAGACTGGTTTTGTGGTCCAGGGTCACATATAGATTATATATAGATTTTACTCATGTCCAAGACCCAGACTTTCAATCTTAAACTTTGAAAATTTCATCATATTAATAAAATGTACTACTATGATTGTAGTGAAATAGATATACACTATTTCAATATTTATTGTGTAAAAATGTTAAGAAAATTATGATTTTAACACAAAGTTTGACTATAATTATGTCATAATTTCCAGCACAACCAACAATTTGCTCCCTAATAAAGATACACTACATTCGCACAGTCAGCGTTTAGATCGACAAATGTTTTGTTAACAGTTTTGACTCTCAATCTGTCCTGTTCATACGCTAAACCTCCTCTGGTGCCTGTTTGTAACATGTTGAATGTCAAGACAAGTTAAAATGTGCAATTAATTTGGCTCTAATCAAGCGTGTTACAGCAAATTAGCAGAACCTCCTTTGTTCGTCAGGTGTCCTTGTGTTAAGATCAAGGCTGGAACTCTTTTTTCCCCCCATCTGGTAAGAGATGTATTATAGTATGAGAAATACGTTATTTTGTTGGCCATCATTGAAAATTATATATTGTAATTAGATTTTAATGTTTTCTGAAGCAAAAGTAATGTGGTGTTCTTACTAAACCAAGTTTGATAAATTACGCTCTGCTTAATTTTCCCATTTCCTATGGAGGCAAATACATCCAACATCAGCCTGGTGAGGTTTATTCATTTGCCATGTAGAGTTTAAAGCAATTATCATGTTTGCCGAGGCTCCGCTTCATGCTATTAGTAAATACAATTAAAACATTGTCAAAGTTTGATTAGTACCTTCCCCCTTATCAGGCTGTGCTGTTTCATTAACTGTCTACCAAGAGATGATAGAAACTCAATGAGAAGATATTACACATCATACTCACTAAAGCAGTCTGATATCTTGCAGTCTCTGTGAGTTATGTATTGTTTTAGTGTTGTAATAGGATGTTTGTTTGTTTGTTTCTGCAGTGGAGTCGAACAGCCCTAGTCTTCTGTCGCCGGATAACATTCTAGAACGTTCCTTCTTCGTCCGTATGAAGTCCACGCTCACCAAGAGAGGCGTCCACATCAAGTCCTCTGGATACAAGGTAAGACTGAACCGGATGATTGTTGTCCTGTTCTAAAAGAAATGAAAACTCACTTCAGTCTTGTGTCATACTGTGTGTGAGATTAATTTAAATTGTCAGTAAGATTTAATTTAATGACTTAATTCAACAAGGATGCATTTAACTGAACAAAAGACAATAAAGACATTTATAATTTTACAGAAAATTTGAGTTTCAAATAAATTCAAATTTTCAATTAAAATAAAATTCTATTCATCAAAAAAATCCTGGAAAAAAAATGCATCACAGATTCCACAAAAATATTAAGCAGCATAACTGCCTTCAACATTAAAAATGATAAGAAATGAATCTTGAGCAGTAAATCAGCATATTAGATTGATTTCTGAAAGATCATGTGACACTGAAGACTCGAGTAATGATGCTGAAAATTCTGCTTTGCATCAAAGGATTAAATTACATTTTAAAACACATCCAAATAGAAAACAGTTATTTTAAATTGTAATAATATTTCACAAAATGACTGATTTTACTGTATTTGTAATCAGTTAAATGCTGCTTTGGTGAGCATAAGTGACTTGATATTTCAAAAACATTACAAACTCCAAACTTTGAACAGTAATGTATGCTGGCATCATTTATATTTGTGTACTATGAACTTTTTGCACTTCGTCCAACCATAGACAATACAGCAGATCACTGAATGCTGTACATTTTAGTATCAACTGAATTGTAAACAGAGAAGTGGATGATTGTTTGGATGTGTCTTTGAGTGAACGACTGAGATCCAAACCCCGCTGCTGCATCCATCTGGACATAGATTTGATGCAAATAAGCGTGAAGTTGGGGAGCGCACTAACCCATAGCATAAATATTCACACATGCACATTCACATATATTACCGGCCAGACAAGGACACTTCTTATTGCATTTACTCCAAATTAAGTCAATATTTGTGTTGTTACATAATACAAAAGTATGAATTTTGCATACGTCGCGCTGGCATTAGGTGATAGGTGCGAGGTGGAGGGAAACGAAGCACAGCTCACATCATGGCTGTTTATATCTCCTCTTCACTCTGGAGGTCAAATCAAAGTGAATTCTTCTCCAGCTTAAACCAGTCTTTTCTTTTTTTGCCAAGGCATCTCGGCCCCGGCTCAGTTAATGCACTCATGTAAAAGCTCTCTATCATTACTTGTGCCGTATCGCATTTCAAAAGCACTCCAGAGAATCCCTAGGAACAGATGAATCTTATTTCTTATGTATACCTATTCTATATTCACCGACGCGGTGACGGGCGGAGAGAGAGAGAGAGAGCATTGTGTGCTGAACCATGAATTATAAAAATTGATCCCTTTGTTATGTTGGCTTGTATTAAATTGATATATGCTATGCGGCTGCGGCCACGGTGAACCCTTGCCATGTCAGTTTGCATTTAGCAGCCTGAGCATATTTAATGTTTTGCCAGAGCTTATGATGTTCTTGCCAAGAGCACTCCTGCAGCAATTCACCGGTGAGTCTCTCTTTGTGGCAATTACTTCAAAAGTTGTATTTTCCAACTAACTTTTTGATGCCCCTCGCTTTGGGCTCATTTCCATTTTGTATGCTTTTAATGCAGCTCAGTGTTTATTTATTGAAAGACCCAGTGTTATACGTATGGATGTGTGTTCTGGATGCAACGTGTGTTTTGTGTGGGCTGCCGCTCTCTGGTGTGCTGCTCTGTTTATGAGAATGTGTGTATGGGTTTGATATGGGACATAATTGGACAGCACCTTCTGATCGCAGCGTGCTGTGATGTCTTACTGAAGCTTGGCAACAGCTGTATCAAGTGCGTTCATGACTGCCTGGTTCGCCTGTCTGATGCTCGCTCGCGTCACGATAATCAGGGGTGCCGTAATGGGGGGGAAGTTTAGGACGATTCCAAGAGCTCGGAACGCAATTTAAATTAAAATCTGAAATATTTAAGGTATATCATTTGTCAGCTACTCAACTACTATTTCTAGATAGGTTTATAGAAAAAAAACAAGCATACTCATTCCAGAAAAATATCCTTTTTTTTGTCAATCTGACTAAATGTTTTTGTTCAAATAAAAATGTAAAATTTAAGCCCAAAGTAAACTTTGTTTGAAAAATGAGGATTTCCTCACTGAATGAGTCATCATTGAACTTTCCAGTTGTCCTTAATTGGCCCCTGGTTTGAGATGGCTTTTGAATTCTGTGAAAGTTCGAACCAACTCTCAACTCTACACCAGGAGAGTCACTCTTTTTTAGTGACTGTGGCAGTCCGTCTTTCCTGGGGGTTGGATTTGCTTGTCCCTCAGCGGAAACGTACAAAGCATCAAAGAGCCCCACCGGCCTGAGCACTCGGTGACTTCGGGGCCGAGACTGTCTATATGAATGATGCTAATAGCATCTCACCAATCTCTGTGGTGAACCAATGAAAGGATAGTGTCAGAAGTTTAAAACACTACAAAACCAATCCCCTCCAGGTTTCCCTGGGTGATTAAAATGGATGGATCCAAAAAAGAACATTGTTGCCGATCTAGTCAATGCATCCTCTGGGCAAAACGGGTTACAAAAGACTTTAAAGCAAGAAGTTTAAAACACTACAAAACCAATCCCCTCCAGGTTTCCCTGGGTGATTAAAATGGATGGGTCCAAAAAAGAACATTGTTGCCGATCTAGTCAATGCATCCTCTGGGCAAAACGGGTTACAAAAGACTTTAAAGCATTACAAACTTTAAAGCCAGCGAAAAAGTAATTAGTTCCTCTGCCTTTGTTATCTCTCGATTATTTCAGAGGGAAATGGCACTTTTTGTGTTTTTTATATTTCATGAACATGTACATAACGGGTACAAGAACCTGAGAATCTTGGTCAAGTGTACAGTAGAGCACAAAGTACATATTGGATTATCAAAGAGTTCACTTGACATCTTATATGACTTCATCTGGTTTATTTTCTGTTATCCTGAAACTGTGGTTGGATACTTTAATAAAGGGTGTGCATGTAATTCAGGAGACAATTGCATCTGATCGGTTTTTAATTTTCCGCTTTGTGTCCTCTTCAAGGTTATCCACATTACCGGCAGGCTGCGGATAAGAATGGCATTAACACACAGTCGTTCGGTACCCAATCAAATCATGGGCATGGTTGTGGTGGCACACGCACTTCCTCCGCCAACCATCAATGAGGTTCGGATCGACTGCCAGATGTTTGTTACACGGGTCAACATGGATCTCAACATTGTTTACTGTGAAAACAGGTAACACTCTTTATATAATATATTCGGTACAGTTTTAACCGGCCTTTGTGATGTCATGTCATGTTGACTTTAAACATAAATAAAGATAGTCAATGATTTATGATGAATGTTAATCTCTAAGAGGGCAACAATTTCACTACGTGTTTGCACAATCTTATTTTGCAGAGCTTATATGCACTATTTAGTATAAGCCTAGTATTGTGTGCAGTTTGATTTGAGAGATTTTGTATCTGCCCTAAAGAATGATAAACGGTGAAAAAGAATTTCAATTTCAGCTGTTTAGAGTTAAACTACGACATTATTGTAGAACTGAAGGATCAGGGGGTGAAAATCTGTTTTGCAAGAGCGGATAATCAGCCACACACTAATGTTCATGTGCAGTTCATTATAGAGCTGATAGTGATGAGTTCTGCTTAAACGCAATCCCAGTATGACCTTGTTTCAACATCTATCGCTCGTTTGAAAAGCCGGCCAAGAAAAAACTCTCTTTTGTACTTACAAATCATCTGTGGTTCCACTGCTGCCCCATAAAATGAGAACATCTTAATTTGGCCTGGCTTGAAAGGAAATATCATATTAGTTTTATTAGTTTTATTTATATCTCTGGGATTGAAGTCATCCCAGTGTCTGCTAAAATTTTTACCACTCCCCTGCACTTAACATATTTATGAGAGAATGGAATCGGGCCAAGTCTATAGCGGAGTTATCATCACAGCAAAAGCCAGCTTTAAAATGAAGGTGGATAGAGATCGGTTGGCCATTTTTATTTATTTATTTTTTTACTGGCCATCTTCTCTGATCCGTGTAGAGAAGGACTGCACTGAGGTTAGAGTCGAATAATGTCTGGAAATGCGCCGCTAATAGTATTTGCCCAACTTAAAGGCATTTTGTATGGTTTTAACCACCTGTTTTTATCAAATTTTCAATACTTCTGTGAGAATTGCTTTTAGATTCAGCAAGCAGTTGGTAGAGCTACAGTAGGTCAGAAAATATTGTGTCTATAGTGAAAACAGGCTGACAGCTTGTCATCACAGATGGAAACCTTTTTAATGAATAAAATCTGGTACAATATATATTTAGCTTACAGAAGGGCTGGGAAATCAGAATCTCTTTATCAGTGACGTTGACTAGAAACCAATCAGGTCTTTGCCCTATTTTAATCTGTCATTGACTGGGAAGAGATAATAACCCACAGTAAGATCTGATTGGTTTCTTTTTGGTGGGCTGCTCAGCTTTCCTTATTGATGTAGCATTACACTATGAAATGTAAAATTAAAAGTTTTTTGTAAATAAAACAATACTTGGAATATGTTGTACAAGAAGCAACTATTCCAGTCTTTCTACTTCAAACTTTCATGTGTAATTCAATGTGTTACTTGCCATTTCTTTGTAATTATTTGTACAAAATTTACCAGCAATTTCTGTGAAAATGTTTCAAAGTAATCCTATACTGAATTATTTTAGTGTAGCTTCATTGGATCAGAAAAGTGCAGGAACCTGAATCTTGATTTGAGTGAAGATTCAGCTGAACTACAAAAATAGTTTAAAAATAGTGCAAAAAGAAAAAATGGTGTCAATTTTAATTTTGTGTTGAAATAATTCTTTCTAGAATCAGTGACTACATGGACCTGACACCTGTCGACATCGTAGGGAAGAGATGTTATCAATTCATTCATGCAGAGGACGTGGAAGGCATTCGGCAAAGCCATTTAGACCGTAAGTATCTGCTCCGAAATCCATCCAATCAATCTGTGCAGCCACCCAACAGTGCCAAAAACTACAGGATGGTTCTTAAAGAGCAAGATTCAGTGTCCTTACATGCTTTAGCGGGACTCATTGATCATTGGTCAATGACATCCTGAGAGCACACTGTTACGTGCCAAAGCTGGCGTAATGTGTTCGCTGCAGCACTTCAGTGTAATGAGACAGCAGTGTGACAGGCAAGATTATCCATGCTAGCGCTTCTTCTCATAACTGTCCATGAAGAACCACTTCCCTCTGCCAGACGGCTAGGCAAGCGCACATCCTACAAACAAGACCCGTATCGCTAGCGAGGCACAGAATCTCTGTTCGTTTGACAGTCTTACACATTTCACTCCTCTTTTCAGGTTAAGTTGCTCCTCTCAATGTACAGACGCCCCATTTCGAGTGCATTTTTATATCATGTAGTATTCATCTGGGCCAATCCGCCACTACAGAGCCCTTTGAAGGTTCCTCAACCTTTTGCACGCTCTGCTTTCATCGTGCTCGGCAGGAGGGCCACTGACCGTCTGGAGGAACGTTCATGCTTTTTGAATATCCTAAATCATCTGTTAAGTGTGTTTTGGCAGCACACCTTTCCCGCTCCCCTCCACCACGATGGCAGAAATTCAAAACGTCATTGAGAGCGGCGTAGCGTTTCATACAGTAGTGTGTGTGCTGCTCTACAGCAGGCAGGTTGCCATTATTTAAGTAGTGAGGGTTGAGGCACAGGAAGAGGAGGAGGAGGGGGATAAATCCCTCGTTTTATTAGGTGTTTGCAGAGGTGGGCGGGTGTCCTTGGGGCTGGCGAGGGAATTTGGAGCTGTCTGATTAGATATTGGGAGTTCAACTGAATTAGAGCGCAATTACCACTGTATTGCACTGTCCCTTTGCCTTAAAAAGCCACCAGATTGGGTCCATTAGACCTTGATTTGAAACCCAGCGGAGGCAGAGGAGACAGGACTGAAGCCCTGGATTGCACTGATAGCGGAGAGAGAGAAAGAGATGTGTGAAAGGAGAGAGAGGGATAGACACAAAGAGAGAACTGCACATCCCCAGCTACCCCTGGCTTTCTAACCATCTATTACACATTAGCATAGCGGCAATCAACATAAATCTAGCCGCACTGCAAATGGCTGGCCATGTCATTACAGTAGAGAGTGGATAGGGTTTCTGTTCCTGCATTTTACTTTGTTCGTTCATACTCAATCTGATCAAATGCGGTTAGCTCGTTGAAACAATGTTTGGAAATGTTGCCGCTAAAGCTGTAATAATAATTCAAGTTGACAAGTTGAACTACAGTTAAGCAATGCTTTTTAAAAACTGTTAAGTAGGGATGGGTGATATGGGCTTTAAAATATATCATGATATTTCTGGTAGTTATTGCGATAACGATATCAATGACGATAATTCAGGGAATCCTGTTTCTTTAGAGAAAAGTATTATCTTTCCTATTTTACCCAAAATAGGATGGTGTGAACATTAATGAGTACACACGTAATGTAAAGACTGTTTAATTCATACTGGAAGCCGGAGGGCGCTTTTGCACAGAAACTCCACATATCCGTAGCAGAAGTAATACTACTGACAACGCTCCAGGAAAGTATCCAGTTATCGCTGAATAAAACGCACAACTGAGATAGAGAAATTTTAACTGATGAAACTTGAGGAAAATAATTGTTTATCTGTGTTCTTCAGTCTAGGGTATTTTTTATAAGGAAAGTATATTTATAATGCAATGTTAATCGACATGGCCTTTACTGTATATAGTACTATTCTGTAATATGAAACCACGTCTGGTCACAAAAAGAAGTATTTCAAACACTCGACTATGTTATTAAGTTAATTTGGAGAAAACGCAAACGGTAAGATATCGCCCATCCCTACTGTTGTTACAATGCAAGATACTAAAAAAAAGTAGCTAATGACAATGAATCTATTCATGAGGCAATGTACATGCACATGCACAATCATACACTGATTATGCTGAATAACCCACCAACATTTAAGGTAATGTAAATGCATGAAGTTTTCTTATACCTGGTACAAGTCAAAAGCAAATTCAAAACCTAATTTTTTTTGTCATAAAAAAAAAATAATAATTTCACATTTAATATAAACTTTTTTTCTTTTTTTTTTAGGAAAAGCATATTTTGATAGTTGGTATCTTTGTTGTGCATGTAAATGCCCTTTTCATTTTAAATAAAAAAACATTAGAGATTATTGATTTTTCTTTTTTTGCACAATAAGAGCAATTTAATCTAGAGCAAGAATGTATTCTCAATTTGATCATAAATTCACACCAGATACTACAACAATAACTAATAAAACTAGAAAATGCATATAACTGGTTTGAATTGATTCAGTAAATTCCTTCAAATAAGAGAGAGCATAGTTTAAGAAAGTGTTTAATTTTTGCTAATTATTGCTGCTGTCACACTACTACTTGATACTTTGTTACTTTGGTTAGAAATCCTAGCACAGCTAAAAGCATTATAATGACGTGTGTCATCTCGGCTTCTATCAAAGCCAGATCTTCAGGTGTCTGCATGAACATGTCACTCATGACTAAGTAGCAGTCACACTGATCTCCCGCTGATTGCTAATCAGACTCTGATATCAGATCACACAGGGCCATCAGATTGGTTAGAGCCTGGGATAAGAGGGATGATGTCAGTCTGGTCAAATCTCTTTGCTGCAGATGCAGTGATGTGTGCATGGAGAAGACGTTCCTTTGGCTCGAGTGCATGTAGTGTTCTTTATGAGTTGCGATGTGTGATATATTACAGATGCGTTCTGCAGAGTTCATAGGCCACTGCTCAAGTGTTCAAGGGCCCGATAAAGCATTTAAAGCCGATCTGTTTAAATTGAGCACCTTGACCCAGGGTTGCTTAAAGAGTAGTTTATGGTCCTTTATAAAATGGGTAGTTCAGACTAGATTCTGGTCTTTAAAGTGGTTGAAAAATGCTGATAGCCAGAAGAATTGTTAAATGATCATAATGTTAATTTAATTCATATTGCTGTTGCTGCCTTTTCAATAAAAACAGTAAGACATCGGTTTTTAACTACAGTAACATCTCTATACTGCACTGTCTCTTGTGGCCTATTTCTTCAACTACTTTTAGGACATACTAAAAAATGAACTGTCCTTCTCATCTCTATGTTTAACAGTTTAATTTGAGCGTTGTAACTGTAAAAAAAACAGCTCTGGTTTACCGAAGGAAAATTAGAAAGTCAACTGTTGGTGCTCACGAAGCATTTGAGAGCAGGTGTTTTATATGGGCAGAAATGCATTGTGACAGCTCTGACCTCACCTGTGTCAGCTTCCGTACAGGACCAACACGGTTTAAATTAATAAAAGACACTGTGTTACACGACTATGTATAATACTCACCGCATAAATGCTCCGCGGGTGTGTGTGTGTGCATGTGCTTTTACCAGCTGAGAAAGAGAGCGAGAGAGAGACAGAGGTGGGAAACGATGGCTCACAGAAGTGTGGAGAAACCCCAGGAGACTGAAGCTCTGTGCCTGAAGGCAGACTACAAGAGCCGGTCTCTGAAGAGTAGTTCAAACTGACTTTAATGAAAAACTCCCTTCACTCCTTATTGTGCTTGAAGATAGACTCCACAGCTGCAGAAAAATACACCTGCTCTAACACCCATCGCATGTACCATTGACAGTGTTTATTCAGGTTTCTTCCATAATGGATTCATAGTAAATATAAAATAGATGTTTCTGTTAGTCTGTATCCACGGATATGCTGCATTTATGTCAGCAGTGATTCATTTGAATGTATTTTTGTTGTTTTTAATGTCATTTTAATTAGTTTTTAGCTGTTTGCACCAGTGTAGCAACCAGCTCTAACTAGTTTTACTTCAGCCGCAACAGCTTTTAGATCAGCTAAACAACTATCTCAAGCAGTTTGGATTAGCACATGGCCATAAACAGCCAGCTTTGACCAGCTAGAAACTGGTTTTATCTGGATTTTAGAACACAAAGACATCTTTATAACCAGCAGATGATTGCATCCTTACTTGCACTTATTCCAAAACGCCTTACAACTGTGATGATGCTTTGAAAACAATTAACGTAGGTGTAATTTCACTTCTCGTGCCATCTCTAAATAGCCAATGTGTTTACTCCTCTGCTGGTGAAGTTTCACCCATTAGATCCAAACAATACAAGTTAAAAACCTCCAATTCACTTGTCCAGCCAAACCCTGCCCGGGTGCCGCAGATCTGCATGTCTGCTCTCTCATTCATAAAAGGCTTGTCTTTACAATAATACCCCAGTGGACTGCAAGGACTTTTCCATAAAGCAATTTCACGGGTGTAAATTACTTGCTTTTATATGACAGTGACACCCTCCACCCCTCCTGCTGGAAGTGAGGCCACGCTGGGTAAAGGGTATCTGAAAGGTAGCTGCTATTATGGAAGGGATCCAAGTGATTTAACAGAACTGAAGGACAGAGGCCCTGGTGCAGAGAGAGCGAGCAAGAGAGATAGAATGAGAAAGAACGGAGTAGAGGGAGAGAGACAGAGAGAGTGAGAGACCATCCTGCAGGCTTGCCCGAGGCTCCAGGAGAAGGCAGGCAGATTAAAGAGGCCGTATTCCTTTTAAAGCCTCCAAAAGCAGCCAACGACTCCTGCACCGGAAAATAAAAAGAAGGATACAGAAAGAGAGAGAGAGAGAAAGGGGTGGCTTCATTACCACTAAATCAATAACTCAAGCAGCCCCTGATTGATTTAATGGCAGCGTAACTGAAAGGGGGTTAAAAAATAAGCCTCACCTGTACAGACGTGGTGCCGGGCGGAGCCGAGGGGGCCAGCACTTCAAATGCAATGCAGATGAGATCAGCTCATCAGGTTTAAAGGCAGAGGGAAAAATGTCCTAGAACTTGTAAACAGTAATGAGGGTTTAAAGGGACCGCTCGGACTCGCATGTTCACAGATAGAGGGAAAGAATCGCTCTGTATTTATGACAAGATTTAATATACTGAAGCTGTACAATACTTTGATTCGGTTTCAATTTAATGTGCTTTATTGGCACAACAATTAGCTCTGCATTTTGTATTGCCAAAGCATTTGCAACTTAGCTGTGTACAATGAAAATGGTGCAGGATATCTATTTATCTGTCTATCACTGTGAGATTTTAAACCATTTCAAAAGCATGTTAAAACATTTTCCTCTCGTCTTATATATTTTTGGAATATTCTCCATAGCAGTTCTTTCTTTTATCTTCAGTTCTGTCATTTCAGATGTGAACAATGTTTTTTCTAGCACTTTTGCTTAGATGCAGTCCATGTATATTGAACCTCTCCATAGACTCTCAGTAGCATGTAAACTTTGTTGAAGAGAGTGAAGGTGAGTCAAGGGTATGCCCACTGGCCACAGCAAACAAGTCAGATAAACAACTCTTGGCTTTTTGTCTCAATTTTCTGGAGTTAGAGCTTAAAACACATTTATTGGTACAGAAAGCAGTCGGTGAACTAAAGTCAATTATCGGAGCCTTTGGGACGGCTTCTTAAACAATGCTATTAGTCTGTAATGATTTTAATTACTAGACTTATTCTTATATAAATCATCTTTCTCAATGGACTCTTTTTACGGAAAGGGCTATTTGTAGCTGTAATTAAACCCAGAATCTGAATTTACTACCATGCTTGGATTCCGACTGTTTCTGTTTTGCAGAACAATGATTAATGCAAATTCATATTATTTGAGATCGCCATTTAGCGCTTAATTTAGCCAAAATTATGGCAACTGCCACAGTGTCTTCACATGAGTAGCCTCAGACAAGGACACGATTACAGAGCCCTTAGCAAATAGTCACAGCGCCCTCTGCTGGGCCTTTGAGATTAAGAGTGTTCAAGCTGGTAATAGAGTATCTCTTTCAAATTAAATTATGGATAGGTTTGTGCTTTACTGAATGCAAATATTATGATTATTATTATTATTTGTTATTGTTGTAATTAAACCTGGGTATATTTAAATTTAAATATATCACATTGTTCACTTTATCTCCTTTTTCTCTTCCACCTCCTTTCCTTTCTGGTATTCTATCCTCTTTTTATAGTGCTGAATAAAGGTCAGTGTGTGACAAAGTATTACCGCTGGATTCAGAAGAATGGAGGTTATATCTGGATCCAGTCCAGTGCCACTATTGCAATCAACACCAAGAATGCCAACGAAAAAAACATCATCTGGGTCAACTATGTACTCAGGTATATGAGTCCTTTGATGAAATTGCCATCTTTTTGTTTCTTTCCTTCTGGCACTGTGACAAGATTAAAGTATCTGAGAGAGTTAATAATAGTCGGTTCCTCTGTAAGATGATGAAGGCCAAGCACACAGATTTTGTCAAACTGCAGTGTGATTTCTTGCTGCTTTTGCGTCTGTGTTCGGGCTTAGAGATTATTAGAATGCTCTTTAGTTTGGGCCGCAGTGAATCAATCAGGATGTCTGGAACATTCTAGAGAAGAGTGTAAAGGATCTTTCACACGGCTGTGAATGATTCTCAGCTGGCAAAGTGAATGACTTGTACCTTCTAAACGTGTCTTTTTTTGTGGTTTCTTTTTAAATGGGCAGTAATCCAGAGTACAAAGATACACCCATGGATATCGCACAGCTGCCTAACCTGCCAGAGAAAGCATCCGAGTCCTCAGAAACATCTGATTCTGAATCCGACTCCAAGAACTCTGGTAGAGTATCACTCCTAGTCCCATTTCATTGCAATATGCCCCAAAACAGTACAGAATACGTGGAAGGTTGTTGGTTTAATCATTACTATGCCCTTGAGCAGGACACTTAAAACCAGTTCTTCTTGCTCCAAGTTTGTTATCCCTGTTCATGGAACCGTTTCTGGTGATACTAGATTCTACATTTTAGATTATTTACAAACCAGTAGTATTGTAAAGTAACACTGTACACAACATACTTCAAAGTTTTCTTTTAATCAAATGCAAATGTCCCATCTGAGGGCTCTTACTGTGTAAATTATCTTCATTTCAATAATTACTGTAAATTATGTAGGACAAGGAAATGTGGTGCTTTCGATATGTCCCTAAAACTGGTGTAAATAGCCAATTAAAACTCCTCAGCCAGTTGGAGATATTAATTATACATTCCAAAAGAAGATGAAGTGAGATTCCAGAAATGGTGGAGGCTGTGAGTGAACAAGGCCGGTTGACAGTCTGGGGAAAGTGCCAACATATTGGCCCCTGGGCATCTCTGCCTGCCGAACCTTTTGCCAGTCTTCATCACAAAGGTTACAGACTGTGCCAGCTGCAGCTGGACTAAACCATGCCCTCTTCTCCTCTCACACTCCCTACCCATCTCTACACCTATCCCCGCCTTCTCCTTCTGTCTTTCTCTGTCTCTTTCTCTCTCTCTCCCCCTGTGTTTCTCTTCCAATGCAGATATGTTTTTCCTAAGGCCAGAAATTCCAAATCCCTGTGAGATATATTTGCCTCACAGTTTTGTTTTTCCCCCTCAGTTCTAAATTCATATACTTTAAAAAGAAAGAATTTTGATGTATTAATGATTTCTGATACATAGATTGCGCTCGTCTTGTTCTTAAGAACCCAGCTACCAACAACACTTGTTCTGAACAGAATTTGACTCGTTCATGACAAAACTAATGATCAACGATACATCACATTATGAATAAGTCACTGGTGGCTAATGCTGTTGCCAAAAATACAACATCAAAAAACAGTTTATGTCCCCAGTGTAATTGTGTCATGTACATAAGACGTGTAATATAAATCCAACTGGAGGGCTTCCAAACTTTAAATGAATAGCCTTAACATAAAACCCCTGACAATGTTTAGTGAACTGTTTCTTGTGCGAAAAACCTTGCTTTGTCAAATAAACTATGACATTGTGATGTGTATGGAAACTTGTCCACTAAACCTTTTTCTTTTTCCCAGAAGACAATGAAAACTCCAAGTCAGATGGAAAGGGGAATCAGTCTTCCGAGAATAGTGAAGATCCAGGGTCAGACAGTAAGAAACAGACGGGCCGGCCGCCAGAGCAAGAGATGAGACGACAGGAGGAAGGAGACAGTTCCAGCAATCCAGAAAGTCAGGACAGTGATGATAGTCTGGAACCTTCTGACTGTGAAACTGACCACAAGGACTTCCATTGGTGCACAGAGTCACAGGCACGCTTGCTGCCACCAGCACGGCTTCCCCACGAGTCTACACCACTGGAACGATCCGATATGCCCCAGCAGACGTCAGTCTGGCCATGCAGGGCAACATCCTGCCTAATGCTCACACCGCTGTGAACTTCATGGATGGGCCCGGCTTTGGCATAGACCCCAAGACACCCATGGAGATGCTGTACCATCATGTGCACCGGCTCAACATGTCCACCCCCTTTGGGGGTGCGGTCAGCGGAGCCGGGCTCACTCAGATGCCAGCTGCTAATGTCTTCACCACAGCAGAGGGACTTTTCTCCACGCTTCCATTTCCCGTCTACAGCAACGGCATCCACAACACACAGACTCTGGAGCGCAAAGAGGATTAAAGCAAAACATCGAGACCATATTACTGTGTTCAACTGTGTTAAAAAGACTTCTGAGGCAAAAGACTGTGTTGGGGAAAAGTGAGATGTTCTAGCACTTTGAATTTTGAGCAATTGAGCTTGTGTAACTGAAATCCTATAAACTTTGACAACGACAGCAGCATCTGGAACTACCCACCCAACCGAGAGATCTCCCGCAACGAGTCTCCCTACAGCATGACAAAACCCCACAACACCTTTCCTTCTCCCCCGCCTGCCGGCCTGCAGGTGTCCATCCCCGACTCTGTCCTCACTCCACCTGGTGCCGAGGGTGGAGGAGGCAGCAGAAAGCCCAACTTCAATGGCAACAGTAGCAGCGGCAACAATAACAGTGCCCCCACCTCTGTGTCCAGCGCAACTCCGGGCAGCTTGGTTCCTCCTTCCAGTTCCACCACTGCTGACCCGCTCTCCCCACCTCTCTCGGCATCGCCACGGGACAAGCAGCAGGGTACACCCACCTCCTCTGGTTCCCTGCTCTACACCAGTGATCTGGAAGCCCTGCAGAGGTTACAAGCGGGGAACGTGGTACTTCCATTGGTGCACAGAGTCACAGGCACGCTTGCTGCCACCAGCACGGCTTCCCCACGAGTCTACACCACTGGAACGATCCGATATGCCCCAGCAGACGTCAGTCTGGCCATGCAGGGCAACATCCTGCCTAATGCTCACACCGCTGTGAACTTCATGGATGGGCCCGGCTTTGGCATAGACCCCAAGACACCCATGGAGATGCTGTACCATCATGTGCACCGGCTCAACATGTCCACCCCCTTTGGGGGTGCGGTCAGCGGAGCCGGGCTCACTCAGATGCCAGCTGCTAATGTCTTCACCACAGCAGAGGGACTTTTCTCCACGCTTCCATTTCCCGTCTACAGCAACGGCATCCACAACACACAGACTCTGGAGCGCAAAGAGGATTAAAGCAAAACATCGAGACCATATTACTGTGTTCAACTGTGTTAAAAAGACTTCTGAGGCAAAAGACTGTGTTGGGGAAAAGTGAGATGTTCTAGCACTTTGAATTTTGAGCAATTGAGCTTGTGTAACTGAAATGAATGGTTTCTCTTCCTGTGTCTTTCTATCTCTTCGACTTTCTCTTTCTTTCTTGCCTCCTTAGACAAGTTCTTGATGACGGTTTCTCTAAACAGACTCATCTCTATTGTAAAGAGTTCCTTCTGAGCCACAGGGAATTCATAGCACTGTAGCATATGTTTTCTCTGTGGTGTGATATTTGTCCAGAGTATATAACATCCTCATTAGGATGTCTTAAAGGTATTAGAAAAAGAAAATTGACAAGAAAAGAAACTGTTTATGTTTCTAAAGGTCTACGTGGTGTAATCACGATTGATGCTGACAAAAGGATGTTACCCTATTTGATGTAGTTCAAAGGGTTTTGCGGTTCTTTCTAAAGGGGGAATAGTATTTTAGAAATAATGCTTTTTCTTCGTTTTTTATAGCTCAACTTAACTTGCAAATCATGCATTTTAAAAAAGAAATTTTAGCCGGATATTGACCTGTGCATAGAATGTTACTATAAAATCCCAGGACATGGAACAGGTCAGTGTGAGATTTTTCCAGTTCCATCTTCTGTTTGCAGATCCATGGTGCTATCATTGAGTTACCCTCACTCAGCTGGCTGATGTAGGTACTGTTCCGGAAATCCAAACAAATGGCGGCTTCAGAGCTTTTCCACAGAAAAGTCAAACCTCTAACAGATTTTTTTTTTTTTTTTTTCAGTTTTTGTTTTGTTTATTATGTTCATCACCTACCCGTGAACACAGGAGAATATTTAACTCAATCTGACTGAGTCTGGAAAGGGATACAGAAACATTTTTTTGCAACTGAGGCTAATTTTACATCATAAACTTGAAGATGAATGTTAAACTCCAAAACATAGCTGGTCAGAGCTATGCTTAATTGTTTTGGGGATTTATTTTATTTTTTATAAATTTTTGGCTTGATTGTTTACACTCCCTCTTTAGCTTACAAGCCTGGTGTCCTTTCCGAAATCAGTCCCCCTTCATCCCTTACCCCTTAACTCTCTCTGAAAATCACATATCAAATGGAGATTGTAATAAGGACATGCATTTTCAATCAAAAAATGTGTTTTGAAAATCCACATTCCTAATTTTTATCCACTGTTGCCAAAAAAACTTTACTCTCACAGTTTGGTGTTAAAACACTGTGATTTGATGTTAAAAAAAAAAAAAACACTAAAGTAATAAAACGGAAGAAAACTGTCACTTCATCATTTGGCAGCCATCCATCAAGTCATCTATTACACAGTGTGATAACCGTAAACTTGTACAATGTGTAAGTGTCATTGGCTGTCAGTCTCCATAGCAACTTAAGTGTGTGTTACTATATGCAGTATATACTGAGCTAATGTAGCTGTTTTGTCCTTTGTCCTCTCTGTGCTAGTCCGGGCTTGGACGGGGAAACATTTGTTCTCCTTCCAGCCCCCTTGCAGTCTTAGTGAACCAGTGGAGGTTAGTGGATTTTGTGTGGTGGCCTTCCAATGTAGTGTCACCTTTTTTGCTGCTTCCTTTTTGTATGTATTACTTTTTTCTGTTTCTGCTATTGCTTTGCTGTCGTGTAGTCTACAGACCTCTCTCTTCTCAGAGATAAAAGACTCTAAACTAGCTCAAAGGTTTAAGGAGCCATTTTTTGCCACTGAGGAATTCTGGGATTGCAGTTTCCAGCTCAAATGTGATGAGGAATAAAAAAATGGAAGTAGCATTTAGTAGACTGGAACCTTAAAAGCCTCAGATGTGAAACATTCCCAGAGTCCCTTGTGCTTGTCTTGTGCATTGGGTGTATTTCATTGGTTTCCACCAAGCCTGTTGACTTCAAGGACCCTGCAACTCACAGGAAATAAAAAAAAAAGATGACGGTAGTATTTCAGGACAATAAACAATTTTAAAGATTTCTAAAGAGATGAAAAAAATATTTCTCACTATAAAATCTATTTTTATAGATGTTTTGGAAATGCATGTTTACTAAGTTGATTGTTTGGTTTACTTGATTTTGTTCAGTCCAGCGGCTTTGTCGATGTTTAGTGTTTTTTAGTCTGTCCAGCAAAGGGAAGGGGGGGGCCTTCGTCTTTTTACCTGAATCAGGCTTCCCCCCGACATCAGGAAACTTGTGTCTGTGGTTTCTGTGAAAACGTGTTGTTACTCAAACCCAGGTCATGATATTAATGTTTTTAAAAATGACAATAATGGGACTCGCCGTCGGAACGGTTGCAGGAGAGCTTGGCGTCACCGCTGCAGGTTAACAGAATCCTAGATTTTAGCATTTTGTACGTAGAGCAGAAGCGGTCGGGACGGGGTTTGGGGGCAGCTCTAAAAACAGACACTGTGGACCAGGAAATACACCCATATGTTACTAACAGAACAGCCGGGCGAGCTGTCTCAATGTATCTGTGTTGTGTCAAAATGATTGCTGGTGATTTAATCTTAAACTAATCTCAGCTGCTGTCAGATAAATAGTGTTTAAAATTACAATATGAGAAATCACTTCATTACCTGTGAAGACTGTGTCTGTGTTTTTAACTATTTCTTGTATAATTATACAGATTCTTTTATGAGGAACTTGGTGCCAAGTAGAAGAATATGGGCGAAAGGGGATTCTCTTAGTATCAGTGTTAACAGTGTTATAAATTCTAAGTACAAACAAATTAAAATATTAAAAAGAGAAAACTATGGTACATTTTGGTTTTGTTTTTTGTTTTCAGAGAAAAAAAAGACAAAAAAACAACTAACTGAAGCTAACTTTGAGTGCCTGGCTTATTTTTTTGGAAACACATTTTTTGTTCATTTACCATGAATAATGCTGCAATTCAAAAATGTACATACTTCATTTTACAACAGGGTTATTTTATACTTTTGTAGGTTTTCATCAGTTAAAGCAACATGTCATACATGGTTGTCTTTCTGTAACAGTTTTTTTTACCATCTTACAGGTGCCATATTCATAATAAACTTTTCTTGGATTTGTTACTATCTGGCATCATTTCTTTTACATTCTGTTCATCATAAGTGAATGCCGAACATCAATGATTATTCTTTGCGTTTCTACTTTCCTGCTTCTTTATGTTCGTTCTTTCCCTCCTATGTTTTTCTCCCGGTCTTTAGTTTTGGTTAATGTAGCCTTTTTAGTTACCTACAGGTTTCAGGTAAGGGAATATCAAAATATTCCACATACAATGAATGGCAATCCAGTGCACTTGTACCAGGGCCTTTATTTTTGACATGTTTTAGCAGTGGCTAAGTGAATCTACTTTACGTTGGACAGAATCTCACGGGTATTTCTGACATGTTTTTTTTCACCTCATGGTATCCTCACCAGGTTTTCAATTAGCAGGAATATTTCAATCTGTGTCTTCTATTATACTGATCTCACTGTAACTTCCTACAGCAAAGCTAAATAAAAGGGGAAAAATGCTTCCTTTTAAAAGTGTTTTACTTAAGATATTTTTCAACAATGTTAGGTCTTGCTCTGTGAAAAAATATGATTTTATAGCTCAGAGGTTGTTGAAATAATTTGTGCTACCCAGTTTACTTCCAAAATGTGATGCATTTCAGAGTGAAACAAGATATTCAGGAAGAAAAATGTTTGGAGTGAAGGGATTTGATTTAATCCACTGGGAATTGATTAGTGCAAACTGGTCAGGGTAATTTTTTTTTTTAAATAAAAAATTATGAAGACTTATTTGTTTGGAATAACATGCACCAATAAATAAATAAGTCCAGAAACACACACTAAGGAAGTCAATAGAGTTGATCTCATGTTGACTTCATGTTAAAGGGATAGTTCACCCAAAAATGAAAATTTGATGTTTATCTGCTTACCCCCAGGGCTTCCAAGATGTAGGTGACTTTGTTTCTTCAGTAGAACACAAACAGAGATTTTTAAGTCAAACCGTTGCAGTCTGTCAGTCCTATAATGTCAGTGGATGAGAATCACGGCTTTGAGAGTCATAAAACATACACAAACAAAACCAAATTAAACCCTGCGGCTCGTGATGATACATTGATGTAAAAAGACACAAAACGATCGGTCTGTGCAAGAAACTGAACAGTATTTATATAGTTTTTTACCTCTGATTTTCACCGCAATGTCTGAACTGTCCTGAGCGCATTCGCGTTTTCTTCTTCAGCCTGCGCATGAGGTGTCGCCTTCTTCACAGCCTTATAAGTGCATTACTGCTACCTATCTCTCAAATGGACCATTGACACTCTATCTACAATCTCAATTGGGAGTGTCAATGGTCCACTCTCAGGACAGTTCAGGCATTGCGGTGAAAATCAGAGGTAAAAAACGATATAAATACTGTTCAGTTTCTTGCACAGACCGATCGTTTTGCGTCTTTTCATATCAATGTATTGTCACGAGCCGCAGGGTTTAATTTGGTTTTGTTTGTGTATGTTTTATGACTCTCAAAGCCGTGATTCCCATCCACTGACATTATAGGACTGAAAGACTGCAACTGTTTGACTTAAAAATCTCCGTTTGTGTTCTACTGAAGAAACAAAGTCACCTACATCTTGGATTCCCTGGGGGTAAGCAGATAAACATCAAATTTTCATTTTTGGGTGAACTATCCCTTTAATGGGTGTCTCAGAGAACATGTAAGATTATTATGACTTTTCCAAATCTGTCAGAATAATGCACTGCCACATTCACACTATTCCTCCAGCTCATAGCATGTATGCTGTGCATGGTAACGTGTGCAATGTGCTAGAATTGACCTCCCATTTACAGTCTGTTGAATCAACTCCAAGTAATTATTTAAAATTTTTACTTATTACTTGATCAGACAGCCAATAGTTAAAACAGTTTTACAAAAAAGTAAACTTTTTAATTTCAAAGATAACTGGATGCCAGTCACATGCAACATAATGCGGTCATGTGACAGCACTAATGTTTGAAACATTTACAGTGGAATAACAATGTTCAATATAGAGTAGAAAGTATGTATACCGCACAGTGTTCAGTATAGTGAGCTAGTATTCCACTCCGAACACAGCTTTTGTTCAGTTCTAAGTAACACTGTAACTTGTTCTTCATTTTTTTCCTTCACTGTCTCCCCTACACCTTTCCTCTTTGCCCTGTTTTTCTCTCTTGTTCTCTCCCTTCTCCCTGCTGCATATCTTTCTCCACTGACTTCAGGCACTGAGGGGGAGGTCACCGCTGAAGCCCACTGAAGAAATCCAACCAACTTTAAATATTTTACGCAATTTTAAATTAAGTCCATGAATGATAGATCACAGGAGAGAGAGAGAGAGAGAGAGAGAAGGAGGAGGAGGTGAAAAAGCCCAAACCTGAATCTTCCCTAATGATTAGGAGCTGTCCATCTCCCCTGTACAGTCCTTATTGTAAATCAGAGAGTGTTTAAATAGCAAAGAGCCTCTCATTAGGGCAGCTACAGGTACATAGAACCTTCAACACCTATATGAATATGAGATATGAATTGTTTCACATCTACTGAGGTCTATTCATCTACTGTTCAAAGCAATTTAACACCTGCGTTTGATCAAAGACATAAAAAAACGACAGGCACGGATAGATAGATAGATGGATGGATGGCTGGATGGATAGAGGTTTTCGTGTTATATTACTTTACATATTAGATGTGAGAGTACTTGCATACGAGATTTATGTTTCTGAGGAGGCATTTGATTTTTAAGTCTTACTTAAATCTTACTACCGCAGAAGCTTTTCCCCTGAGCTGTGAAATCCACAGTACGGCAAGAGTGACATCTAGAGGTTACAGTCAGTAATAATGTCTGTGGAGCTCTTTTGTTTCAACAGGGATCTTCTGTAACGTTATATACTTCTGCGATGAGAGCTTTTGTGAAAGCCAGGATCTCCCGTAAGTCTCAGATTTTCATAGACGTAATCACTTTTTAAAATCCTTCTAACAACTAAATGCAAGTGTGGCAGGATAATGTTCACTTTATTGAATATATTTCATATTTTAAATGACTTTACCACTTATATACTGTAGCCTATATTTAGGCATCCTTTCTCATGTTTTACATGCCGTTTTCTACTGGGAAATTTAGCTACAGTTGTAGTTATATTTGGCCTATTGATTTCATACAGACTTAATTTTATAGAAATCGCGTTTGCAGTGATCTAACCATTGTTAATGAGGTGAATGCATTAGTTGTGTGGTAATTACACCACAGTTAAACTACGGTTACACCAGAACTACGGTGGAAATATGAACGATTATTGCTCCTACCTTCTCTTATAGTGAGATGCTCCTTCATGTTTCCACAAAGTTCATAGTAATGGAGGACAGTTTTATTACAGCGTTGTCGCTAAATCACTTTTGTGAGTGATGTTTGGCTAATTAACTGTCTTTCGGCGCCAATTGTGGAAAAGGGCGGAGCTTTACACGTATTATACGTCACCGTCTGTTATGCGCGAGATGGAGATGACCATTAAGGATGATGATTACTCCCTTCGTTGATTTTTTTTAATGCTTCTTAATGTTTTCCTGAAAGTGTTTGTATATTTTCATCTTTTTTTTTTTAATAAAAAAAAGATAACCATTAAGGATCGAGCAACAAAAAAAAAACTATAAACATTTAGACCCAAAAAGAAACTATGTGTATTTAGTTATTTTATCTGTATGTGTTTACGTGATAAATAAAAATGGGATAAAATGGCTGGTAAATATCAATAGTACACGTCTACGCTAAATAAAACAGCACAATGGGGACACAGCGACACCTAGTGGTAAATTATGGCCAAAGGAAAAACTTTATTACTGAAAAAAGCAACAATGTAATGTAAACAATGGGACAATTGAAAACATTTTAACACATTGTTTAATTGGCCATTTAAAATAGTTGTAAATCTCAATTTATGTACAGTACATGAACCAA